GTATATATTGTTTATTATTGTAGACGAATGGAGGCCCATATTATGTATTAAGACACATTGTTAATTAAAGGCAAAAATAGTAATCTTTTTCAAAAAAGTAAATAACGAAATTTCTTTCCAACATGAGGGGATTTCTGTGTTCTTTATGATAAGCACTAAGTTATACAGTTCCCAACAAAAATGGTCGAAAACTCACTTAATAATAATTTTACCCTAACATTTATGAAGAAAAAAGTTCCACACACACACCCACACACATAATGATTGGTGAACTGCACAAAACAAGTTTACATGAATTTAAATTGTTTTCTGTAAACCTACTTTAATGTTTTTACAGACAACTGTATGCATGAATTAGAAAGGTTGATTACAACAGGCAATATTACCTGCAATTGTAGGCCAGCTTGCAAGTAAGTGTACGTGCGCATAACAGCAGTAGTTCTTAACGCACTACTTACAACCAATACCATAAAGGAATACGTTTAGAAGGAGAACCATCCTGCGAGGATCTTTTTCGCCGGGAACACAATTATCTCACTGTTACAAAACTTGTTTTGGGATTCAGTTTCTAAACTTTGTCTAAATCTGTAAAAATACATAAAAATAAATTGATTTTGGCACCAATGGCGTTCCATATTACGTATTTGCATGGCATTCCATAGTACACTTTTTCTTGGTTACCGCGAATCCTAGACTTGCCACAAGTCTCTAATTTATGGATTTTTCGTAGTACATTAGCGCATTTCGGAAAGCGCCACCAGCATCAGTTTATGTTGAGAAACTTTTTGATGAGAATTAGAGACTTGTAAAAGAGTGAGTCAAATCGAATGCAGACCGCTGGCCGTGACAAGCATGACGTAATTTTTAGGATGCCGTATTTGGCAATAGGGTGAATGTTATGACGGAAGGCCAACCAGTCAAACGGTTCTCGTTTTGGTGCCACGAATGTAGAGAGAAGTCGGGAAGTTGGGACATGGTACCGTACGTGCTGGTGTTGTGCAGGTGTGTGGAATATCGTGGTACATTGTTAATGGAGGAAAAGAAAACATTATCCAAAACGCCAAAAAAAGCTGTATTCCAGAGATTTTTTTGTTCTGCGCACAAGATCGAGTGCGTGGAAAAGCTGCAGTCTAGAAAATATTTGGTTTGCGAACCGCCTTCTAAACGTTCACGCGAGGCTCAGTATTTTAAAGACTAGAACATTTATCAGCCCACCACTAGGCCTAGGCCGACGGAAAAGCTGTCATGCTCTCGCAACTGCGACACAAAATTGAAGACAATGTATAGCTGGATAAGCTATGGGAGTTGTCGCGGGTACGTTTACGTATTTTTAAAAACAAGTGAATGTTACCAAAAAGAGGAGCAGCCCGTCTGTATTCCAAAGAGCCAAGAGAAATTTGATTAGCGCGGCGAAACATGAATTAACCACCTACAGCTGGTGTAGTGGACGGGACGAGCTGGGCCTATGAGCGTCTCTAGATAAAATGATGATGGTACCAACGAGGCCAGAACTAATGTAAAGG